GAGAGTTTTTTACACAATGGAAATAGTTGCCAGTTTTAATTTTTGGAGTTGTGGGTTCGTCGAACCTCCCCTCCCCCACAGAAGTTCTAGGGTTAAGCGATGTGGCACGAGTATTTTTGACTTGTGGCAGTTTAAGGCTATTTCAGTAACGAAGCGTTAACTCCTACGACCCGTGCCTTGGTTTCTTACCACCACCTATTGCTCTTTGTCGCTTTGTTTCCTGTTTTCCTTTTCCGCTCACAGTGAATATTTTTCTTTTCTTGGTTGAAAGCGTTCGTCGCGGATACTCCTGAGATTTCGATCCTGTGTTTTTTTCTTCGTATCTTGTTGTAATGGTAAACTTGTCATAACTGATAAACAACTATACGATATTTTGGAAACAGGACAAACGTTTATTCATTTTATATGTTCCGACTTTTTCAGAATGTTTTGGAAAATTTTATATTTTACGATGAAAGTATATATAAAACTGAAATTATCAATTATTAGGTATGGCGAATTGGTATTATTATATCATGATATTTTAATGTGGAGATTCAGCACAATGTGAATTTTTATATGTTCTAATCAAAGTGAATCTTTTAACATAAAATATAATTAATGTCTTTTCTGATTAATTTTACTTCAATATTAGGTATACTAATGAATATAACACCTTGTTGTTTACTTTTTTGATTTTAAATATATGCGTCTATATTTTACGATTGATTTAGCCTTTGCAGCTGAATAGGTTTCTAGCTGAATTAATTTCTTGCGAGAAAAATTTGTGTCATTAAACTAAATTTTAAACAATAAAGATACTTTTTAATGGCACGTAGAGAATTACTGTTATGTAATATTTTTACCAGAAAATATGATACAAAGAAATTTATTAACTACATTTTAATATTTTTTATTCTTTCCATTGTTTCAGTTTTTTGTCGGTTTGTTTTCATATTTTTACACAGAAAATATCTTCCAAAAAATTGTTTGAATATATTGTAATATTGTTCACTGCCAATTAATTATAATTTATATTTACATTAATCGTTCTAAATGAAGGTGGGTACTTCGATGTATTGCATTAATTGTTTTGAACAAATTCGTATTAGGAGTTTAGAAATAGTAAAAGCTACTAGAAATAGATAATATTCGATCGAAAATGTTAGCAACGAGTAGAAATAGAAAGAAATGATCAGGCAAATTGTTCAAGTCAAAAATGTGTAACACGCACACTCAAAATGTTTTCAATGTTAATCTTTAAAAAAAATAAGACCTTAGATAAAACATTTCACTGGACGTGAAATCTTTGATTTATCATTGTACCAGGAATAATATTGTTTATATTCTGTAGTAAATATTTTTGTTCAGCTTGAAATAAAGCTTCCCAAATTGATTCGAATCTGTTTAGGATCACAAATTCATCGACAATAAGTCGACTTGAGAATTAGAGTTCTCTTTGCATTTCAAAGACTAATGCTCTACACATATGCAAAAAAGTCATTCTTTTTCACTAGGAAAAAGATATTGTCAAGCATAGTCATGCGTCGAGTATTAACCTAGTTGGTAATTCGTGTGCAAAGGGTTATCTTACACGCGCGCTGCCTTTCATTTATTTCCGTGCATGACGATCGTGTCTTGTGAAAAATGTTGGATTCTGTACAGAGTTTCAGCTTGTACAACGTTTTTATTTTTATTTTCTTTTGTCGGCGAACTCGCCAGTAACGGAAAAACAAATCTGGTGTTCACTTTATAATGCTGCAACTAACAAATTAGAATGTTGTCCCTATTTAACACGTTGAATGCCGCACGATTTCATAGAGCAAAATACACAAAATGGAAAGAACATACTATTAAATTATTTAATCGAATTGCGTTATTATTATTACATGTGCATCTAGCTGAATATCACCGCATCAGGTAGCATTGTCTATAATATAGAAATATCTTCAAATAATCGTTATTTAATTGAGTGAACTATGGTAATTCAGTTTGGTTGGGGGTCACTGGTGATCCCCATGGCATTCAACGTGTTAAATATTCCACAACTATTGTTTTCTAATTGTATTATATAAACTAATAATTGTTGTTTTGTTATTTTACTCTTTTATCGAGGTATAACTAACACTGAGTTTTTAAAATAAAATATGTAACAGTATATACATCAATATGATGGTTGTACTTCATATAATGGATATCAAGCACGTCAGGAGGTATTATAAAAGCAATTCTCTAATCGATGGATCGGGCGCAGTAGACGAATTTCATAACTGGCTCATTTTCCTGACTTTACACCACTTTACTACTTTCTTTGAAGACATCTAAAGAGCGATGATTATCTCGAGCTACCAACAACACCTGAAGTCATGGAAAATCGTAATCGTTAGAGCATGTATTGCTATAACTATTGAAACATTTGAGTGTGCCTTTTAATTTCAATTATGATGAATTGACATTGAAAATTCTTGAAGGATACTGTAGTAGTTATTAACACCAGCAGTTGTTAATACTATCGACCTATCGAACAGTCAAACTTCACTGATTTGTAATGTATTATAAAAGTTACAAGAATGTATTTATCAGGATTTTGATTAACTCATAGTTTTGAACACACACTAATAAATCATTTTATTCAATAACTTCTTAGAATTGCACTTGTATCTTTCTAATAATTGTTTACATTACAATCGTAAGTCCCAATTACGCGAATAACTTTGCACAATCAAATCGTAAGAATTTCAATGCCCTTGACAAATACGAATTGCAGTTCTTCAAAATTACTATGTAATTCCTGGTTAAGACAATAAATCTGTAGTAAAAAAATAATAATAGTTTTAAAAATAGTATTAAAAAGTATTAAAGTATACTTTTTTTAACTATATTGTAACTAATTCACCTTATGCCCTTTCAATAAATCTTAATGTTGTTCATTTTTAGCATCGACTGGACTGAATAGCCAACTGATCAAATTTGACATACCTTCATCTTTGTATAAAGGCACCGTTGAAACAGAGGGCCGTGTATCTAGATAGAGTGCATTGTAATTTCATTGACATCCCCAAAATATCGTATAGAGGGCCAGATCGTAAATGGTAAGTCTTACTTCAGTCTCGTCAATAATGAGACAGAGGGATGATGATAAACGAATACGGGGGATCAAAGACGGAGGAAGATTTTACCGAATAAAGTGATTGGAAAATCATACCTACTGCCCTTTATGAACGAATTCAAAATTTCATATGATACAATTATTCATAGAGGATTCTTTCTTCTTGCCAAATTATATTTTTTATTATCTTTTACTCTTTATCCCATGATCGCTTTCATAATTTTGCTCAGTGAAATTACTTTGTAATTAATGATTTACTAAAAATAAAGAAGAATTTAACGGTATAATAATTGATTACAGAGAAATAATACTCATTTATATTAACTTTTGTTAGGGATCTTTCTCACGAGTTTGACAATACATTGTGTGGTAAGGGATTAATATACTTTTAATTAATATTTATAATATTTTGTATGAAAGAGAAGGAGGATCTGGCCCGATTCTTCTTCTCCAACAATTTCTGAAAGTAGGATTCGTCCTTGTGCCCATTTAAGTTAGGTTTGTGTTATTTGGAATTTTTAGCATTTCTGTGTGGTCAAGGGCGGCACATTTGTCAAGTTGACCAAGCTGTAAGCAGTAGAGTGCCACCGACAGCCATATTACATATGTTCTGAATTTGAATTACATGAATAATTCTAAAGGTTCATAGGTGAACATATTTTAGGACAAGTTGAAACTGTAAAATACGGTGAAAGAGAAATGTTATCGACGAATATAATTATGATAATTTGAGATGGATGGTGTTTCAGAGAAAAACAATAACCTCAGCATGCGAACGTAATCGATAAAGAGAGACGATTCAAACGTGAAGGAAGTTGAACATTTTGCATTAATGCGTGTATTTTAAAATAAGATTGAGGTTTTTGAAAGATCGAAACTACTTGTAATAGTTTTTAATACACGAATTGGATAACACAATGGAAACATCGTAAACATATTAAACATATTAAACGTTACTCAGGATTTAGACACACAATAGTATATATGTAATTCTATGCAATATTAATAAAAAATTGTTCAACTGTGCAAAACGTTTCCATTATTCCGTCAAATGCTTGCATTTTATCTCATTTTTACTCTTATTATTCAAACCGAATAACATCTCGTCAGATTCGAACAAATGCAACTTCATGTATAACACAAAAACAGGAAGTTGGTTAATTATCTACTACGAGTTAAAACTACATTGGGGCAAAAGGAAATACTGGGATAATTATTACAAATTCGATAAATATAAAAATAGCGGATATGAACTCTTGCGACAACCTATCGTTGCACCTCACTGTGTTGCATTTTGTTTCCTTAGCCAATAACGACAATAAGTCAAAACACGAGTGTTACTATTACACAATCGAGCATCGCAAGTGAATGATTTCCCGTACTTACGATTCTACATGCATTTTCTCAAATACATTTTCAACGATAAAGTGTTATTCATTGATGCATTCTTGTTCCCGTGTCGTCCACTGTGGCAATTCTTGATCAACGCACCATAGGTAGGCGGACAACTTTTGGTCAACGAACGAGACGAACAAGGAAATCCATCGAAATAGTTTGAACCTGCTCAATCTGAAGCCCAACACTTTTGTTGTCTATTGCTTTCGATGAACGAATATAAAGTAAGATCGAATCACATTTGATCGAATCGATCAGATCGAGACTTGACCGACAGTGTGTCACCGGGTCTAACGATTTCCAGAACCATAGAACAATCGGAATCTGTGTTAAGTTCAACCGGTACTCCGAAATGCGAACTCCTATGAGCCATGTTTCGCAGATTCGCTTGCGGCTATGGAACGACGCCGTCGAAAGCCTACGGAATTGGACTGCGGCCAGCCTTCGGCACGAGGTTCGCCGAGCATCCCGACGAAGCGTGCCGAGGCCCCGCGACGCCTGACGTCGCGACGTCGTTCCCCGTCAGCCCCCAGTGTGCCGCGCAACGTCGGACGTGCGTTGCCGTTGTTGTGTCCGGTCTTCGTTTTGTGGCTTTTTCGTTGATCGCCGCGTGTGGTACCGAGGACATGTGACGGAAGAGATTAGAAAATGACGAACGGAATCGGCCCAGTACCCGGCCACCGGAAGTAGTAAGCGCGACCGTTTCCGCCGTGAATTTCGATTCACGTTGCCACCGCAGCCGATCCCGAACCGAAATTTCAATCTCATGCATTCATTATTTTTACTCGGGGAAAAGACGCGATGTCAGTTGCGGAAGTGGCTAGGCTTTGAATCGTTCTACTGATATTTTATTTGAGATATCGTTGGAGTGAGATTGGTAAACGATCCTTTTTTCGACAGATTTCTGGGTTTAACGATTGTACGAATGCAGTTTTGGACTGAATTTATTCGTCGTTTTATTCGTTGAATGATTGTGGCGATACATTCGTAGAGGATTGGCTGATGAAACTGTTAGAGGATTTTCTTGATCCTTTTGGAATCGATCGTCGATGCGATGTCTGTTTTTACATTTAATATGTATTTTTTAATGCAAGTTTTTCATGATGCAATCAACTACTACGTATCGGTTCATGATTTGTTCGTTACTTAGATGGTTTAATTCATTGAAATAAATTGAGTCGTGGTTATTCGAGAAACAATTAAATATAGTCTTCATCTGAGAAGAAATTTATAATTCTTTGCTTTATGTGTTTATACCCGACTCGAATGCAACAGGGACAAACTGAAATGTGGGTCAGACTGAATGTCGGATATAGGAAAATTTTAACTCATCGTTTTCTGTATAAAATGATCGAACTATATAAAACGATTTTCCAAAATTTGTTAAATATAATGGTAATTATTTAGATGATTAACATCTTCTCGATCTTCTTTTGCAAATTCGAATATGCACAAACTTGATAGAACGTCAAAACCAAGGAATATGATTTTCATAACTATTTCCATTAATTAAGATCAGTATTTTCTTTAATACTGAGATCAATATTTACATATGCTCCAGATATTAAATATGAAGACACGTCTCGCAAATGACAAAAAACGAATATGTTGGTTTTCTATTGTATAGTAACTGATTTTATAAACTTCATGGGATTTCTCAACTAAAATCACTTCTTGTAATATAAAAATCAAAATTCCAGTTTATCTGTATCTAAATTTATGTGAGTACTATTCGCATTTGAATTCACCGAAAAACGAATAAGCATATACTAGAAAGATTAGCAGTAAAGTGTTAGTTTTAAATGTATTATTTAAACAAATGAAGCTTTGTGAAGCCTGTTTATTTAAGTGCACTTTATTACTACAAAAAGTACATATTATATACAGTAAGAAAATTGGATTATATATGACGTTGACTGATACGTTCTAGCTCCAACAGTTTAGAAGATGTTCAAGCAAACGTTTCGATGTGAAAGTGGCTGATAAAAAGTTGATAAAAAAGAATTCACGACAGCTATTTTCGTAAAAGTTCAAAATTAAAGCGGATACCACTTTGACATTGTTCCTTTGTCAGTAACACTCAGCTTTGCTTTGGTCCGTTCAATTCTTACTATAGCAAAAGTCACGCAAGTACATTGTTAACAAATTAGTCAATTCCAAATTTTAACATTTATTTTTCTTTTGAGACGATTTTCTGGTTTTTTAATAATTTTTTAGTCAACACAAGTGGTGCGCATACTCTAAAAATCAAATGAAAACACTAAAATGAACATACTATTGTGTAAGGTCAATGCCAAGTAGTAAAAATTGTTTTGAAGTTTACCATAGAAAAATACAGATTATTAGTCAAAAATATCGAGTAAAAATTTCTTATTGAAAGGTCTCACGTTGAAACGGTTTAATAGATAAACTTCGAAAATATATAGTGGTTAGAAGTAAAAAAATACTCCATACAAATTATCCTTATTACTTCGTTTTCTAAAAATACTTCTGACGCTATTCTGAATGAGCAAACAGTTCGTTGGTTTATTTTTAACACGGAATATTCAAGCTAAATGCATTATTTAGAATTAATCATGTACTTGAGCAAAAAACCTGTTAACAAACTTATTAATTTTTTAAGAAAAACTGTCATTTCAAATCGATTGTTACCTCTGTAAAAAAGATCACAAATCAAAATTTAGGCGATGTACTAGATTTCGACAGCAGGAACCCGAATGTTTATTCATTATGGACTTTTATTATCGGCATGGATATTCGAGTGGATATTCCGCTAATAATATTTTCATCGAAAGCGTGGAATAGAATTTTCATCTTGTACCCGTTCAGAGATTTGCATCGACGTGTCATACGATAAAATTAAAAGATATTTGATATGTCGGTAAATAGATTGCGCGAGTTCATTTTGTGATAAATGTAAAGTTCTGGGAGATGTATAGTATCGTCGGAAGAAATTACACTGATTTTTTCATTCATTCGTTTTCTATCTTTTTATTAACAGAAACTATTATTTTCAGAAGATTGATTGATCATTTTTAACTTTCAAAGTAAGGAAATTCATGGTAACTGTCGCATAAAATATTCCAGGAAATCATAATTTCGCGAACTTTTTGAATGTTCTCGGTCTTAGGTAACCTCTCTTCGCAGCAAATGCAATTTAAGAAGTAAATTTCGGAAGGACTCTCGAACAAAGTTTGTTAGAGTCTACGCTATAAACTAGGAGTAATGAAATATTGGGCGGGTGGACCCGACCAGTTTTTGATTTCGAAATTTCTTATCACTGAAAAGTTTCGTGTACTCGGCAGACTGCGCATAGGTTGATCTCTTCCACTTAACGTTGCACCCTACCGTAATAAACGCGTCGTTCTCTTTAAAAGAAAACAGATCAATAGACTGTTTTTCCTTACAAAGGCTTCGTAGAGTGCCCAATGGGGTTCCATTAGTGTCCATCACGTTGATGTGTACCTAATGTTGGTCTCCACAGAGTTTTATAGAGTAGTAACAGTAAATAGTTCATATTGGATCCTTTGGAAAGTATGAGCCAATTTTAGGAAACTTTATATTGTAATATGATTACTTATTATAGGTATTTCTAATATCTTCAGTATTTTAGAATTATTCGCGATTAATATTTTGATTTTGTCATTTTTATCATTTTTTTCTATGAACTTGGCAAACCATCTGCGAATAGTTTCTTTGTGATGGAATACATGTTGCGTTTACGTTACAGTTTTCTTTTCTCGACGAGAGACCAGCAGTAGGATAGGGTGGGGCTAAAAGTTCGGTAGGTGAGAAGTCCCGAGTTGAAAATTATTATTTGTTTATCAGTTGACTAAGCTTTGCATCACATAATTCAGTCAACAAGAATTAGAAAATATTGTTTTTTTCTTATTCTTCATAAATTATTGCTTAACAGCGAATTGATGGAGTATATTAAGATTGTATGTTTCTTTAGCAATATATAAATGCTGTGATTTATTTTTAGGTGACAATTTTTAG